TAAAATTCTTGTTCCCTGGAAGACGGAGTCCAAGGGAAGGTACTGCCATACGGTTAAAAGATCAAGCTCCCACGGACATAAAACTTTGGCCTCCCAAAGTGCTGGGATTACAGGCGTGAGCCACTGCACCCGGCCTAACCCTGTAAATCTTAGAAGGGACTCTAACCCTCCTAAGTCAGGCCTCTAACTCGAGTTCAGTCAAGCGTCCTTGCCTTTTATTAAGATGGACCTGTAACTCACTGTGTCTTAGGAGAGACTGTAACTCCCCTAAGTTGGGGCTCTAACCCAGTCCCATTCTTTACCCAGGTGTCAGCCCACTGGTGTGCGCGGATTGTTTTCCTTTGGGCGGGGAATCTCTTCAGTATCCTGCAGTCTATGGTCCGCCAGAAATATGTTACAAGACCCCAACACTTACCCAAAGGTAGCCGTAGGGTCAGGGTTTCTGCACTGTAGCCCCTTCGTGGTTGCCAGAAAGACGTTACCAGAAAGGGGTCCCAATCCAGACCCCAAGAGAGGGTTCTTGGATCTCATGCAAGAAGGAATTCAGGGTGCAAGGTGAAAAAAAGTTTGTTTATTTATTTATGAGACAGAGTCTCGCTCTGTCGCCCAGGCTGGAATGCAGTGGCCAATCTCGGCTCACTGCAAGCTCCGCCTCCCAGGTTCAGGCCATTCTCCTGCCTCAGCCTCCCGAGTAGCTGGGACTACAGTTGCCCACCGCCATGTCTGGCTAATTTTTTGTGTTTTTAGTAGAGAAGAGGTTTCACCGTGTTAGCCAGATAGTCACTACAGTTGCCCACCGCCACGTCTGGCTAATTTTTTGTGTTTTTAGTAGAGAAGAGGTTTCACTGTGTTAGCCAGATAGTCTCAATCTCCTGACCTCGTGATCTGCCCGCCTCAGCCTCCCAAAGTGCTGGGATTACAGGCGTGAGCCACCGCGCTGGGCCAAAAGCAAGTTTATTAAGAAAGTAAAGGAATAAAAGAATGGCTACTCAGTAGACAGAGCAGCCCGGGGGGCTGCTGGTTGCCCGTTTTTATGGTTTTTTTTTTATAATATGCTAAACAAGGTGTGGATTATTCATGCCTCCCCTTTTTACACCGTATGGGGTAACTTCCTGATGTTGCCAGGGCATTTGTGAACTGTTATGGCGCTGGTGGGAATGTAGCAGTGAGGACGACCAGAGGTCACTTTTGTGGCCATTTTGATTTTGGTGGGTTTTGGCGGGTTTGGTTTTTGTGGCTCCTTTATTGCAATCTGTTTTATTAGCAAGGTCTGAAGGTCTTTGTGACCTGTATTTTGTACTGACCTCCTATCTCATCTTGTGACTTAGAATGCCTTAACCATCTGGGAACGCAGCCCAGTCGGTTTCAGTCTTATTTTACCCAGCTCCTATTTAAGATGGAGTTGCTCTGGTTTACACGACTCTGACAAAATAATCATGATATGCATGTTATAATTTTTAAGGATATTTTAAATGCAAACATAGTTATGCATTGAAAAAATCTATATGTAATTTTGGCTTTTAATTTAAAATAATATTTACATATTAATAAATATATATTGTGTGCAACATCATTTTCTATTTCTGCATGGGATACCACTGCACATACATGCCACTAGTTATTCAATTTATTCATTATCATTGATATTTTGTCAGGACTCTTTAAGTTGCAAGGAACAAAAAACTTAAACTGCCCCAAAGAGGAATTTTTTGGCTCTGTAATTAAAGCCTCAACAGGCTCTCTTCCTCTGATGCCCAGGTATCTACCAAAAGTTCCAGGGTTAAACCCTTTAAATTCCAAGTCCAGCAGGAGGAGGAAAAAAACATCACTTCAACAATGGCTTCAAACGTTCTTGTTCTAGAGGTCAGTGACTAGACTAACCCAGAGCCAGTCACTGTATGCATTTGGTGACAGTGGTATTACCAGAACAGGGGGATACAAATGCTGATGGGAAAAAACAACAGCTGTCCATTACAGACGTTTCACATTATTCCCAACTATTTGCTTTAATGAACTGTACCCCATGGACTATCCTTGAACATAAATCTTTGGAGACATGATTGATAATTTCCTTGGGATAAACACTGGATCTAAGAGCATGGTATACTTTTAATGAATTTGATACCTTTTGCCAAATTACCTTCCAGAAAAGGCTACCAGTTAACCTGTGCTTTGAAAAGTAGAAAGCTGTGGAAAGAAAGTTTTTATCATTTTTTTAAAAGTTTGACATATATTGAATGAAGACTTAAAAAGAAAAGATTGCTAGATTCAATTCTATGAGGTGAAAAATCTGTACATTGAAAAAAAACTCATAAAAATTTCTTCATATCCTTATAATTACTGCTAGGCAAGAATTCTGTCTTGTTTTACTTTGCTTTTATATGTATTATTCCTAATGTAAATCATTTTTATATGCCTATATCTACTGGTATTTTTATATTAAGATTTTTCCATGAATGCCCTTTAGCCATTTATCTATTAGAGTACTGTCTTATTCTGCTATAAAAGTTGCCACATATTAACCTTATCTTTGTCTTATATGTTGCAAATGCTTTACCAGTTTGTCACTTGCCTTTTAATTTGCTTGGAGTTCATAAAGTTTAGAGCATATCATATATAAACCTGGTTTGTTACCCACCTGTAAAACCTGATTCTACCACTTTGTATTGTATCTTTAGGCAAATTTGATAACCCCTCTTTACCTCAGTTTCATCTTTGGTAAATGAGGATCATCATATATTTTATAGGGGTGTTATGAAGATTCAATGAAATAATTATTTAGAATAGGCCAGGTACTGTGACTCACACTTACAATCCCAGTGCCTTGAGAGACTGAGGCAAGAGTATGACTTGAACCCAGGAGTTTGAGACCAACCTATGCAATGTAGCAAGACCCGCATCTCTACAATAAAGTAAAATAATTATTCAAGTGTTGTGGCACATGCCTGTAGTCCCAGCTACTTGGGAGGCTGAGGTGATACATTACTTGAGCAGAGAAGTTCCTAGGTTGAAGTGAGCTATGATTGCATCACTGCACTCCAGTCTAGGTGACAGAGAAAGACTCCCCAAAAAACTCCAAAATGCATCAGAATAACTGAGGGCAATGTCTAGCACATAGTAATCTATTTTAGATATGATTTTTATTTGTGTTGTTTTTCGGTATACAGAACCTTTTAATCTCATATAATTTAATCTAGCAATCTTTCTTTTAAGCCTTCTGTATTAGTCCACTCTCACCCTGCTATAAATAACTGCCGAAGACTGAGCAATTTATAAAGGAAAGAGGTTCATGCATGACTGGGGAGGCCTCAGGAAACTTACAATTATGGAGGAAGGGGAAGCAGGCATGTCTTACATGGCAGCAGGAGACAGAGAGAGAGAGATTGAGAGATTGAGATTAAGAGCAAGAGATGAACTGCCAAACACTTATAAAACCATCAGATCTTGTGAGAACTCCTTCACTATCATGAGAACAGCATGGGGAAAACTGCCCCCATGATCCAGTCACCTCCCACGAGTGCCCTCCCTCAACATGTGGCGAATACAATTTGGACTACAATTGTTGATGAGATTTGGGTGGGGACACAGCCAAACCATATCACCTTCAATATGTGCCTAAGCTTTTTATAAAAAGGTAAGAGAGACATTTCCACAGCTTTCTGTCTTCCACAGCATAGATTAACTGGCCAGAATTCATAACTACTTTGTGTAATTGCTAATTCATACAGATTTAACAGAATAAAAGATTATCTGATAATTAATGCCACTGAATTGTACACTTAAAATGGTTAAAATGACAAATTTTACATGATATATATTATACCACAATTTTTAAGTTAATAATATATCAAAAACCATTTAATTGTACATTAAGTGAATGCTTTGTATGATATATGAATTTATATCTCAATAAAGCCCTTTTTTTAAATTTAAAAAAAACCTGAGAAAGTAATGTCAATTTAGAGTAAGTAATTTCACTACTATTTCCAAATGAAAGAGCTGTTACAGTAAGAAACGCTTTGCATTGTGATTCATTCATTTGACAAATATTCATTGAGCACCTAAGAGCCAAGCACTGTGCTAGGCCCTGGAGATTCACTGGTGACCAAAACAGTCATGGAGCTTATAGGAGAGGTGTGGGGGACAGATATTTTAAAAAACTTAATCTCGCCCAGGCGCGGTGACTCACGCCTGTAATCCTAGCACTTTGGGAGGCCGAGGCGGGCGGATCACAAGATCAGGAGATCGAGCCCATCCTGGCTAACATGGTAAAACCCCATCTCTACTAAAAATACAAAAAAATTAGCCGGGCATGTTGGCGGGCGCCCGTAGTCCCTGCTACTTGGGAGGCTGAGGCAGGAGAATGACGTGAACCCAGGAGGCGGAGCTTGTAGTGAGCCGAGATTGCACCACTGCACTTCAGCCTGGGAGACAGAGCAAGACTCTGTCTCAAAAAAAAAAAAAAATTAATCTCAATTAAGTGTTCAGTTACAAATCTGAGATAGATACTGTCATAGAAAACTGATAATTACTATATAATGAGAAAATAATTTAGACAGGGGGTTAGCAAAGGCCTCTTTGAGGAAGTGAAGCTGTGACTTAAGAATAGGATTTATCCAGGAAAAGTTTTCAGCAGATTCTGTGAACATCTTAAAGTAAATAAGAAAGAGCTTATAGTGACGCTGAATTTTGTGGAACAACAACAAAAACAAATATTCTGCTAATTTTCTTTAAAAGGCTCTTTAAGGAAATGGTCTTATTCCATAAGTGATGCTAAGATGCAGTAAATCTTCTGTGTCAGTGCTTCTTAGACTTTAATGTGCCTACAGATTTACCTGAGAATCTTGTGAGATGTAGGCTCTGATGCAGTCGGTCTGGACTGGGGCCTGAGATTCAGGGAATGGCCACATTGCTCTGCAGAGGACCATGCTGAACTGAGGAAAAAAGGCAGACATTTCAGAATTCTGGAATTATTTTGTAAACTCTCTCTTTATTTTCAGTTCAAGCAAGTTTGCTGCTGTTGGATATCATAAAGCTTTGACAGATGAACTGGCTGCCTTGCAAATAACTGGAGTCAAAACAACATGTCTCTGTCCTAATTTTGTAAACACTGGCTTCATCAAAAATCCAAGTACAAGGTAAGTTGAGAAATTGAGACAAAAGGATTGGTGGTTGCCATGAATACCAGCCATTCTATGGGTTTTCCTAAATGTTTTAATCCCTGAAACACCTGATATTTAATGCTCTTAGTTCATTTTGATTTCAGCTTCTGTAGATTGTGGGAAAACAGGTGGAAAGCCAAAAAGAGAGAAAGCAAGGGAGAGTGACTAAAAAAGTAAATATGAATGACATAGGTAAACTTGCGAACTCTTCCTTTTTTCTTCTCCTGAGTAATGATTCACAGGCATAAATATACAAACATGTCATCAGGTGTGCTTGGGAACTATGTAGGGGCCTCACCCTCAGATATGTTGACTTACTGGGTTTGGTTGGGGTAGGGTAGTGGCAGGGAAGGGGGCCTGGAACTCTACGTTTAAAAAAGGTGATTATCATAGGTGATTCTGATAGAGATAACCCAGGACCACATGTGAAAAACACTTCCCTTTGGTAATCTAGAGATTAGCCTCCAAAAGGAGTACCAGATCATATTCTTTCCATGGTTAAAAAATAAAATTATAAAGGATTAATTTGAAGATAATTTTTAATGTTTTCTCTTTTTAGAAATAGCTTTAATGTCTTTGTAAACATAATGCATACTTATTTGTTTAAATGCCAATGTTACTGAAAAATACAAAGCAAAAAGTTTCTTTTTTAATCTCCTTAAAACCCTCTATCAAGTGGAAACCACTCTTAAAATTTTGATGAACATCCTTCTAGACTTCTCTGAATTTTATATAACTGGCGTATGTTACACATAGGGTCCTGGAAGCAGCAAGTATACTGCATACTTCCCTCAGCATTATGTTATAGACATCTAATAAAGTACAGAGCATTATAATAAATTGTATTGATTATTGGGAGCAATAGCATCTCCTAGTGATGATTTTAGGGTTGTTTTTAGTGTTCTGGATTTTTACAGCAAATCAGCAATAAGCATGCTTGGGCACACATATTTTCACTTTTGGATAATTATCTCCTTCAGGTAAATTCATAAAGGGGGATTACTGAGCCAAAGGGTATATAACTTGTAAATATTCCTACATATTGCCAAACTCCCCTCCAGAAATGCTGCACTGATTTGCACTCCTACCCACAGTGCAGGGAGAGCACCTTACTCTACTTTTTCACCAGTCTGCTTTCTGTGACTCTTTTAATCACTGCCAATCCAATACACGAAGAATCATCTTTCTTTTTACCCTGATGACTAGCTACATTCATGTTTGCATACGATTTTTGGACATTTGACTTCTTTTATGAATTGCCTGTTTTCGTGGCATCAGCTCACTTTTTGCTATTGAGCTCTAGAGTTGTTTTTGTTTTTGTTTGTTTTTTGGGTTTTTTGAGACAGAGTTTCACTCTGTCGCCCAGGTTGGGGTACAGTGGCGCAATCTCGGCTCGCTGCCACCTCAACCTCCCAGGTTCAAGCGAGTCTCATGCCTCAGCTTCCCGAGTATCTGGGATTACAGGCACGCACCACCACGCCCGGCTAATTTCTGTATTTTTAATAGAGTCGGGGTTTCGCCATGTTGGTCGGGCTGTTCCCAAACTCCAGGCCACAAGTGATCCGCCCGCTTTGGGGACCTCCCAAAGTGCTGGGATTACAGGCGTGAGCCACCACACCCAGCTGAGCTCTAGAGATTTTTAATTGATACATAAGAAAGAATTCTTCATACATTTGAGAAGCCCCTTTATATATCACATACATTTTTTTCCCCAGTTTTTTTTGTTTGTTTGCTTTTAAACCTATTTTCATTTAGTTTTACATTAAAATTTTCTTAGGGATTTTTTTCTCATGGCCTTTAGGTTCTGTGAGGTGTATAGAAAGGTCTTTCTCATTCCGAGCTTATGAAAATATTTACCATATTTTTTCTAGCATATATTTTATGGTTGCATTTTTCATACTTAAATCATTGCCCCACCCAAATTTATTTTGATTTAAGAAGGTCACAGTATAGTTTGTTTTTTCCAAATAGTTAATGAGTTTTCTGTACTATTTATTAAATAACATCATTTTCTTCACTGATATTAAATTCATATAAGTTTGCATGCTTACTTGGATAGACTTTTGGATTCTCAATTTTATTGTAATGATGAGATTCAATTTTGCTTAGTTGTGTTTTGGTTTTGAGACAGGGTCTCACTTAGGCTGAAGTGCAGTGGTGTGATCCTGGCTCACTGTAACCTTGAACTGGGCTCGAGCAGCCCTCCACCTCAGCCTCCTGAGTAGGACTACAGTGTGTGCCACCATGCCCAGCTAATTTTTTTTTTTTTTTTTTTTTTTTATTTATTTATTTTTTTTGAGAACCAGGGTTTTGCTGTTTGCCCAGGCTGGTCTCGAAGTGGCCTTGAGCAATTCTCCCACCTCCACCTCACCTCCCAAAGTGCCAGGATTATAAGCATGAGTCACTGCATCCAGCCAAGATTCAATTTTTAAGTTTTATTCTGCCCCCTCAAACTTCCCCATCTTTCCCCCGATTCAACTGTCTTTGTTGAAAATGTATTTAAAATTAATGAAAAATATTCAGTGTGGTCACTTGAAGGGTTAACAGGTTCTAATTTTTTCCTTTTTTTTTTTTTTTTAAATTTTTTTTTGAGACAGGGATTCACTCTGTCACCCAGGCTGGATGCAGTGGCACAATCACAACTGACTGCAGCCTTGACCTCCTGGGCTCAAGCAGTTCTCCCACCTCAGCCTCCCCAGCACCTGGGACCATACAGGCATGTGTCCCCACACCTGGCTAATTTTTAAATTTCTTGTAGAGACAGGGTCTCCCTGTGTTGCACAGGCTGGGCTCACGGGCTCCTTGAACTCAATTGAAACTCCTGGGCTCAAGTCATCCTCCCAACTTCAGCCTCTTGAAGTGCTGGGATTACAGGCATGAGTCACCACACCCAGCCCAACAGGTTCTATTTTGTTTTATTTTATTTAGTAGAGACGGGGTTTCTCCATATTGGTCAGGCTCGTCTCGAACTCCTGACAGGTGATCCACGGCCCCCAGGTTCTATTTTAAATACACTTAATTTAAGTCATCCCACAGGGAAGCAGAACAAAAAGCCAACATTAGACAGAAGTTTGGGAGCTGTGCAAAGATCTCAAGGCCTCTAAGAATCTATCAAATAGTCTTTAAAATCTATTTTTAATACACAATTTTGTTAGAAAATAAAAGTAAGAGTATTTATTTTAGAGGTCAATGTTTAAATTTATCAATATTAAACAAGAAAACCCTAACTGGAGTCTGAAGAGAGAAGAAAAGGGACAGATAAGTTTTTTAGGTTGGGAAATGGATCTGAGGAATGAGAGTGGTGAGGATAAGCTTCAGTAAAACTGAAAGCAGATGTTGAAGATAAAACTTGCCAGTTTCCTCAATTTCTTTTTCAGTATGTGGATACTAAAATAACATATTTAGCAGATGTTGATAAAACTTTTGCCAGTTTCATCAATTTCTTTAGCAGATGTTGAAGATAAAACTTGCCAGTTTCCTCAATTTCTTTTTCAGTATGTGGATACTAAAATAACATATTTGAGTCAAGTTTTTAAGTCATACTGTCTTTCAGTAGTTAAAAACAGACATCCTATTTTCAAAAGTTATAATTGAATTTTTTAACCTTGCCTCCTTGACAAGACCGCACAGAGCTGACCTTAATGTGGGCTCCAGTGCCCTCTCCTGACACAACTTACTAGGGCCATTAAAAAAGAATTAGGAAGCCCACTCTGGGGGAAAAGTGTGAACAGAGGCTAAGATGATTCTAGGCTGAATATAAACCTGACCAAGGAAGGGCCTAGAAATTGGTCTTGGCATATGAACCTCTTTGAGGCTAAGCTAGTACTAAAGTAGACTCCAAAGATGAAGTTAGTTTTAATATAGAAACTTAGTACTTCTAATTAGAAGAGAGAACGTATTCCTCATTAAATACCTGTTTACATGTCAGACACCAAATAAAATGTCATTTTCTTAAACCTCACAACAGTACTTTGGGGGAGATGTTATTAGTCCTTCTTCAATAGATGAGAGATGTCTGAGGTTTAGAGAAATTAAGTAACTTGCCCAGTTACTGAGATTCAGATTAAGCTACATAGGCCGTTCTGAAGAAAGAAAATTGAACCAATCTCTAAATGGCTGAATTATAAATATTTTGTTTCATATTAATGTTGGAACTTAAATTCTGTTTGAGAGCATATCTAAGATGTAGTTATTGGTTCTTATATTTACACAGCTAACACACTGCAAAGAAACTGTTTACTAGAAAGGTATAGTACAGCATAATCTGGATTTATTGGAATTAAATGTAAATCAGGTGTTCCGATTATTTTTTTAAGCTCAGTTATTTTTGTTAAATAAACTTGAATTTCAATAAATAGTTTTAAAAAAATTTTAAATATATACATATACATATATATATATATTTTTTTTTTTTTTTTTTTTTTTTTCTTTTAGAGACAAGGTCTTGCTTTGTTCCCCAGGCTGATCTTGCCTCAGTGTCCCAAGTAACTGGGCTATAGGCGTGAGCTGCCCACCCAGCTTAGCACACTTTTAATCTTTGCCAGTATGATAGGAAAAAAACAGTACTTCCATGTTATATTAATATGATCTTTTTATCATTAAATGGACCAACAATAATATTTTCATTCATTTAATTATTTATTTATGTTTGAGACAGGGTCTCGCTCTGTTGCCTAGGCTAGAGTGCGGTGGCATGATCCCAGCTAACTGCAGCCTCCACCTCCTGGATCAAGCTGATTCTCCTGCCTCAGCCTCCCAAGTAGCTGGGATTACAGGTGCATGCCACCATGCCCAGCTAATTTTTGTATTTTTAGTAGAGACGGGGCTTTTGCCCTGTTGGCCAGGCTGGTCTCAAACTCCTGGCCTCAAGCGATCCGCCTGCCTCAGCCTCCCAAAATGTTGGGATTACAGTCGTGAGCCACCGCACCCAGTCCTTCCTTTTATATTTAATAAGTCCTACTATCTTTGCTACTCCA